GAACTGAAAGTGAAAATAGTCAAACTGAATTTTTTAATAAACCAAAATACAGTTTCAACGCAAATTAATTCAGATACAAAACTTTAAATTCAGTTTCAATTTAGTGAAATTTATTTTCAAACCAATGCATTCAGATTCAGTTCCTGCTGACACACGATTAATCCCACAGTTTGGCTTCTAGAACTCTGCTGTCTGAAGTACACAAATATTTAGTAGAAGTAAAGATAAATACCTTCCATCCCAGATCACTGAAGCTGACGTAGAGTTCATGTTTTTTACAGGGTTCACCTTTGTTGACCGGACCACGATCTGAACACAACAATTAAAAAGTTTGATCATAAATTAATTTAATCTCATCTAATTTAATTAAATTAAAGGATTAAAAGTCCTTACTCTGGATGACGGGTACTGGCAGGTCGTATTTGTGCTTCTTCTTCCGGGGCTGGGGCTTGATGGCCCGCGGCGGTCGACACGGAACCTGGTTCTCCCTGAAGAACGTCACCATGAAGGGCTGCTTGGAGCGAGGACCCCTGCGGCCCACCAGGCCGATCCAGGCTGCGGACAGGGAGCGGTCTGCGGGGGGGGAACGTGTGTCGTCAGAAAGCTCCGCCCCCGCGGTGCTGAACGGTTCCAGCAGAACCCTCACCTTCCTCGGTCTCCACGTAGAGGCGGATGCCCAGGTTGCTGCGGGGGTGCAGCAGCCAGTGGTTGGAGGCCGAGGTGACGTCGAAGGCCAGCCAGCCCTCCTGTCCTGCAGGAACCGACTGCATGTCCAGCAGGACCAGCTCCGCCTCTCTGAACACAAACAGGAAGTGAAACATCAAACACAACTGTGTTTCTTTTTAAATGAACAGAGTCTGAGCTCACCTGTTCCTGTTCTCCCGTTTGATCTGGTACACGGAGATGTGCAGGGTCCGGTTCACCCTCTGGCCCACAGTCAGGGTCTTGTAGATCCGAAACTCGGCCGCCGTCACCGTCTCGCCCTTAGGGAGTGGGGTGAGGTCGAAACGGAACTCTTTCCAGTACGGGCGAGGCTGCAGGAGGTCTCGCTCCTGCTCCACTGCAGAAACAGAGTCCAGAGCATCAGAACCGGTTCATTTCTTTAAAACTCAGATAAACCTCCTCTGGGTTTACTTCAAAACATCAAGGTTTTACATCAAAACATCAAGGTTTTACATCAAAACATCAAATTTTATATCAAAACATCAAAGTTTTACATCAAAACATCAAGGTTTTACATCAAAACATCAG